GCTTAATTATACATAAATTGCACTTATGTATGCCATATATCTCTTTGTAAAGCAATATAATAAAGTTTAATATCCAGTCTTACGTGAGCTGGAGTGCATCCAAGTTCTGATGATCATATGCGAGTGAGTCTTTTCGATATGTAAATCAATCAGTCTTGCACACTAACCAATAAAAAATTATAGAAAGTGAACACCAAAATCTACCTTGACACACTAATTAAAATATTAGGAAGGCGATTTTAGATCTGATCTGAAATCACTTTAGCATTATGCATGTTAAGATTAAGTTTGGTAATATGGTTCAAAAATTTTTTTTTATGTATAAAAAATATTTCAGATAAAAAGGTTATCTGTATATAATGTCATATTAAGCAAAGCTCTTTATATAACAGTTAATAAGTATTAATAGCAAGTTAGGCAATCAAAATTTTTGTAATATAGTAATTAAAATGTCAATTTTTATAGTAATCAATTCTTTTCAGAAAAAAAAATTGAATGTTATAAAAATCACCTAATTCTAATCACTGGAATATGTGTTATTTGATTCTTTTTTTCTTTATCTACATAATATAGTTTTTCTTAAAACAATATTGTTAAATCTTAAAATGGCTCAAGAGCAAAACTATCCTTAACTTTATTACACTATTATAAAACTTTAATCATTCTTTGCTAATCAATTATAAAAACAAGAACTTCTTCATCTTTTTCAATAATTGCATCTTCTTTAATAATTGTATTATGGTCTTCTTTATCATCACTAAAATTGATTGTAATAATATTATATTCATCAGGAACATGATAGGTTTCATTTTGACTAATTTCTTCACTTTTATTACTAAGTATTTCATCCTAATGATTTTGTTATCTTCTAATCTATCCATTATATTAGAAATAGAGCACTTATGAAATACATATCAAATAATTTCAGGATCAATTTCTGTCTAAGCAGCAAGTACCCACTCACAAATGGTGTATAATTCTATACATTTTAAGTTCTTTTTCTTTGTTTTGTCAGAACCACCCTTTGCTATTCATATATGTCAATAACAATGAAATGCTACTTTAAAAAGATAATTAATAGAAATGTTAAGAAGTTGGTACACAAAGATTAGATCATCTGAAATAATAACCAGATCATTATTGTTTTTATATTACTTTGCCTTAATTAGATTAGTAAGATGTGTCTTAAATGAGTCAAATACTAAAAGAAAAGACTTATTTTTTTGATTGCCTGAATGACCTTTAATATAAGTAGCAGCCTAAATTAACATGTCTAATTTGTCTATCTAGTCTTTTTCATGAAAAGACACAACCATACCAGAAAGAGAAAAAGGTTTAGTCTTAGCCTATCTTTGACCTTTGAACAGAATCGTAGAGAAGAATTTTCATCCATTAGTAAAATATATTAAAACTATGATAAAACAATTCTTCTTATTACCAATTGTGTGAATATGAACAGTTTTGGTGCCAATTTGTTCAATAATAAGATTATCAGTTATGTCAAACCAGATGAGACTCTCATCTATGTTTGCTAGGTTGCTTAGAAAGTAGTTTTTTTTTTGACATAACTTAATTACATATTATTGAAAATTAAGTAGTTTTTGTTCAAGATCTATAGACATTTTTTGTGAAATTTTAGTTTTTTGACATAAAGCAAAATTATAATGTTTTAAAAAATGGTTTGTCTACATTGAAGAAACTTTGAAGTTGGCTATAAGTTTTTTTTTTATAAGATTATTGTTTTTTGAAACAGCTTCAGAGATAATTTTTAGTATTTCTAATTTAAGACTATTATATATTATAGCAAGTGTTGTTCTATGTATTTCAGATATTCAACTATAAAATCTTGCTTTCTCTTTAAGAAAAAACCACTTTCTACTAGCATCTTCAAGATAATATAACTTGTTATTTTCAATTTCATTTATTTTATCCTTCAGCTGCACTACCTAATGACCAACTTAGGACTTATCTAAGCTAAACTTTATAGCAGCCTTATATCAGCAAAAATTATAGGCCAATATATATCGATTATTATCTACATGGATATATATCAATAATAATCCCACCGTTAGGTTATATCGATTGAGATAAACATCGATATATAGCTATTATAACAGAAAATTGCTATTAATTGATTATATAAAAAATCCGATATATATTAATATTTATCAAAAAAATTTTATACTACTAATTTATAGCAATAAAGCAACAATAATACTATTTTAAAAATGCTTAAAGCAATAACTGGTTTTATTAAATATAACCTTTATTACATGCATATATTCGATATTAAAACTGATGTATTAATATTAAAAAAAATGTGATACAAAGACAAAGAACAATATAAAGAAAAAAAACAAAAAATAATGCACGATCCATTCTTTTGGATTGTATACTTCTTTCTATTAATAACTATATTAAAGAATTAGAGAAAAAGTTGAATGATAAATTTGAAGAAGAATATTAATAATAACTTGAGAGGTCATTTTGTATGAAATGTCAGAGTTTTTTTAAAGAAAAAACATAATACAAAGAAAAAAATTACAAAAAAAACTATTGCTAATACTTGATTCCAAACAATTTATCCATCTCTTCTTGTGATATTGACAGACTTTTTCAGAAATAAGTTTCAGGATCAGAATTATGAGGTGAGGCCTCTTTTGATCATTCATTACTTTCAGCTTCATCATTTAATATATTTTGTGCAGACTCATGCAATGGGCTACTGTTTTCGAAATCTCTCTATGCAAATATATCAAATATTAATACTATTATCTCTAAAAATAAAATATACAATTACTTATCAAATATTGTTTAATTCTATATCTTATACGTGATTCTTTACACAAAATGCTTCATAAGTGGGGGTTGAGAAGGATGTCACAAACCGCAAGCATGAATGCACAATGTTCACTAGTCATAGAGGGAACTGCTGCTATAGTAAAAGCTGTTCTTGCAATAAGAGACACCCAAAAGATGCCCTCATCGTTTTTTTCAAAAAGTATGTGATAGCAAGTGCTTACTTCTGAACTTTCTTTCCACCTTACAATATTGGCCACAGCCACATTACTTCTTAACCAGAGCAATTTCTCAACCCCAAAAACACTCCAAATTGCTGATCTAATGCTCTGAAGAGCAGCATCATAGGTGTTCTTGATTTTTTTTAGGAGCTATATAATGTAAATTGTAAATATTTGAAAAATTGAAACCAAAAACTATTGTAAACAATATATAATAAAAAATCATTACCTAATACAAAATAATATAAATTAAGAAAGTTAAAAAATGATTATTAATAATTATAAACAATAGATATAATAAAAAAAGAAAAATTACCAGACTCAACCATTGATCATAAAAATGGTTTGTGAATTTGTTGCTGTTTAGATTAGACATAAAATCTGAGAACCTTTCCTCTAGGTAGCCTTTCAATGTTTTCTTGATTAGGGTTTGAGTGGGATACACATGATATGAGAAGAGATATTTAGCAATGCCAATAAAAATTTCCTAAAAAAAATAAAAGACTTTAAAGCAAGTTTCATTTAAAATACAAAAAAATCACTTCAAATATTTACCATTATCAAAACTGTATAAAATACTAACTTCAGGACCTTTAGTGAAGGTTCATTTTCTACATTACTTCGCTAGCATTTTAATTCTGCCTTAACCTTCCTTACATCTTCGCTGAGTCTTTTTACTAAAACATACAGCTGCTGGTGTTGAGCAAAATGTCATTCATCTACTTACTGGTGGTGGTGGCAGATGCGAACTTTAAGGGCAACAAGTCCAAAAAAAAAAAAAAAAAAAGTAATAAAAAAGTAATAAAAAAGTAAAAAAAAACTCTATTTTTAGTTACATAAAAAAAAAAGGCTTTTATATAGATTTAATTATTAATTAATATTAATTATCTTGATTATGCTGATTAGAGGAAGATTGTCTTTTTGTCGATCTTCCCCGTGATTGTGAACATAAGCGTGGTGGTGGTAGGGATAATGAACAATTTCTATCACCAGGTGAAGAATGTGGTTCATATTGTGGAGAACATGATTCATGTCGTGAGTGAAATGGTTGAGAGGGTTGCATTGAAGTATGGTAAGTTCGACATCTTGCTTGTGTTGATCAGGATTTACTACTCATAGTTGCAAAAGTTTTTTGGATATTTATAATACTTAAAGCAGCTGAATCTGATAAATCATAATCATCATTTTGAGTTAGATAGGGTGGTTGATGTGGAGAAGCAATATTAGGTGGAATCAGTTGTTGATAGGAAGAAGTGATATTAATTGTTTGAGGTTGTTGATGAGATGGTGGAATCAGTTGTTAATAAGAAGAAGGTAAAGTTAGTTGTTGATGAAAAGGTGGAGTCAGTTGTTGATGAGAAGGTGAAGTCAGTTGTTGATGAGAAGGTGGAGTTGGTTGTTGATGAGAAGAAAATGGAATTAGTTGTTGATAAGAAGAAGTATCAGTTGGAGGCATTGATTAAGAATGTTGTTGGGAAGAAGTAATATTAGTTATATTAGCATTCATTTCAAAATTTTTCAAAAATGAAATAAAATTTTTTATTTTTTAAACAATAAATATCTTTTATTTATACTTTTATTTATATTTGATAAAACTTTTGTAAGCAGGAAATATAAGTTAAAACCTAATGATAAAAAATGAAATGTAAAGAATGACAATAATATATACTTATCTTGTTTTGTCATTATACTTGTAATGCTTGTAATGAGATTTATCATTATATTATTTCTGAGATTTATCATGCACATATTACATAGATTTTACTGAGATTTATTATAAAATTAAAATTCATAATTGATAATATAAAGCATAATATTATGTCATATAAATAATTATTGTATTGATAAAATAAGCAAAGAAATATCCAATGATATATATCAATACTAATCCATATATTTTGCTTTATAACATTTTTTTATATTATTTTCTTTTATTTTTAGGTGCTCTTTCTATATAAAATCTATACTCTAGTTTTATATTTAATATATATATTCTATTCTATTTTTTATATTCAATATATATCCTATTCTATCTTTTATATATAATATATATTCATTTCTATCTTTTCAATTGATATATATATCTTAAAAATTTGATGAATATATTTATTTTATCTTTTATATTTATATTTTCTTATTCATTTTTAATTTTTTTTGATTTTTAATGATTATTTTTAATTTTTTTTTATATCTTTTTAGGGGTTTTTTTTTTTATATCATTTTTTTTTTTCTTAAAATGTGTTGGCAGTATGAGCATTATAATTAAGAATTTTTAAAATCATTTACATTAGTATAACATATTTCACAAAGTTATTCTTATCTTTAAAGTTCCACAAATAATACAGTTTTTACAAATATTTAGATAATAATATTATTTAAAATCTTTCAGAATATAGTTCTAGTGATTCTGCTACAAAATATAAGGTAAATGGTTATACATTTTTAATTGTTATGAAGCATTATATAATGATAAAATTTCATATAGAATAAAAATATATCAATCTTATCTAAATTAATTCCAAGTGAGCCTTCTTATATGAAAATAAAATATCTTTCAATTAATGATGTGATAGAAGATAAAGTATCTCAAAACATATCTAATGAAAGTAATCTTGAAGTCTATAAAGATACTTTGTCAGATGATGTTAGTGATAAGTTGATAAAATTAATTCTAAAAATTTTGAAAAAGCTTCATTTGATAATGCTTTTAATTATTTGTACTACTTACAAAATATTGAATGGCCTAACGATACTTATCACAAATTTATAGAGATAGTTAATAAGTATTAACTTTTAAATTTAGCTAGTGATGCTTTTATAAACTTCTTTAATAAATTTGCTAATTTGGATACTTCTTTGCTTTTATCATCAACAAAAACTAAAAAGAAATTTCTTGATAAATTTATTCCACCTTATATAATGTTCAAAGAAATTTCTATAAAAAAGTTTGAAAATATTGAATATATTTTTTACTATTGATTATTAATTAAGGCTATAAAGTCTTTAATAAAAATTGATAGTATTAATCAGTCATTGGTTCTTGAATATGAAGATAAAAGAAAAATAAGAAATAATATAAAATATAGAATCTTTGAGAAACAATATCATAGTGTTATAGGATAGATTTCTATTATTGTATTATTTATTAGTTATAGTTGCTTTAATGCTTTAAACATTTTAATG